GAGATCATGCGAAACTTCACCTTCCTTAAGAATGTGTTGAGATCTCACAGGTCCAGGATAGGCTGGAGCTCACCTTTGGCCTTGGACATGAGGAAATAGCAGGAGTAGAACCCCTTGCCCCATAACTCCTGAGGAACCTCCCCTAGAGCAAGGAGCAATTGCACCTCCTGCAAGAGGAGTTGCTCATGAGAAGGGTCCCTGAAGAGGGACGGGGACGGTGGAGGGAACAGAATTGGATAGAATATCCCGCTTCTATCGTGTTGAGCACCCAATGATCTGACATGATCTGGGACCAATCAGGGTAGAAGCGGGAGAGTCAATTCACCAAGGGGGAGAGGGGGGAGAAGATATGAGCCTGAAACCAATGCTCCATCCTCGGGGACATCTTCAAAAGTTTGGCTTCGGGCCAGGGGGCTGTTTCGCTGAACTCTGGTCTTGGCCTGAGGAGGACCGTGATGGGCGCCTCCTATTACTTCTGCCCCATCTCCTTGACGAGTCTCGCCTAGAGGCCCAGTGTAGACGTGGGATGGGGGCTGAGGCATAAAAGGCCATCTTTGAGGTGCTGGGGTGTGGATCACCAAAGACTTCAAAGTCGCCCACAAGTCCTTAAGGCTATGCAGGTGAAAGTCCGTATTTTGGGCGAACAGGCCCGCAGTGTCAAAGGGAAGGTCCTGTATAGTATTCTGGACTGCAGGTGGTATCCCCGAGACCTGGAGCCATGCACTGTGCCTCATTCTGATGGCAGTGGCCATTGTCCAAGCCACCAAGTCCACCGCCTCCAGCACGGCCTGGAGGGACGTTCTAGAGGCCACCCTGCTCTCCTCAAGGAGCGTGCTAAACTCCTTGTGTGAGTCAGCCGGGAGTAACTGCTGGAACTTTGCCAATGAGCTCCAAGAGTTGAAAGCATAGCGGCTGAGTACTGCTTGCTGGTTAGTCACTCAAAGCTGGAGGCCCCCAGTTGAGAAGACAATTTGGCCGAAAAGGTCCAGCTTCTTAGCATCCCATGACTTAGGCGTAGGACCCAGCTGTCCTTGCCGCTCTTTGTGGTTTGCCGCATCAACCACCAGAGTCCCCGGTTGGGGGTGGGTGAAAAGGCGTTCATACCCTTTCTGCAGCACAAAATATCGTCTTTACACCCCTTTAGCAGTAGTATAGAGGCTAGAATCTGCCAAAGCACCTTAGTGGTGTTTTGGATCGTTCTTATGAGGGGCAAGGCCACCCTAAAAGGACCTTCAGGGGTAAGGATATCCACCATCGGGTCAGACTCCTCCATGACCTCCTCTGCCTGGATATTAAGATTTAGGGCCTTATCCCTTCCTTAAGGGAAGTCCTGGTGACCCTTGGTGTCCATCGCTGTCAGGGTGGTGGTGCCCGCCACTGCCTTGTCTGGCGAGGAAGAGGAGGCCTGTGGGACAGGGTCTTCCTGCCCTTCCAGCTCTCTGGAGGTCGGCTCAGGTACCTTGGAGCCTACTGTGACTTGAGGTGGCTCTAGTCTCACTAATGGTGCTGGATCGGGCACTGCGCTAGAGCAGACAGAGACAGAGTCCCTGTCTTGTACGGCGTCCTCAGGAGCCCTGGTGGTGTAGTGAGTCAGTGACGACGCTGAGGGGCCGGCACAGGGTGCAGATGCCACTGATGCCGGCCTGGAGCCCTGACCCTGGTGGTAGGCCCAAGGGGTCCAAAAGGGCCACTGAACTGGGTCCTGCCACTGGGGTGGCCAGGCGACTGCCGGTGCCAATGATTCCACTGGTTTGCGGTGCCGGGACTCATAGTGGCTGCGTTGAGAGACAGAAGACTTAGCTTTCAGAGTAGCAGCTGTGTTAGTCTGTATCCGCAAAAAGAAAAGGAGTACTTGTGGCACATTAGAGACTAACAACTTTATTTGAGCATAAGCTTGCATGCATCCGATGAAGTGAGCTGTAGCTCATGAAAGCTTATGCTCAAATAAATTTGTTAGTCTCTAAGGTGCCACAAGTACTCCTTTTAGAAGACTTAGCATTTGACTCAGACGAGTAGTCTGTGCCCAACCACTGGGGGATGGGGGGAAGAGGGTGCGCAGAGCCGGATGGTGCCAGAGATCGGTACCAGAGAGATGGTGAGTGGCGCCGTAACATCACAGGCTTGCCACGATGTTGAACCAGAGGCAGTGCCGTCAATGGTGCCGCAAATGGTGCCGGAGTCACATGCAGTGCTGGGCTAGAATTTGCAGCCAGTGCCACCACTGATGCCACTGACGGTGCCTGGGCTTGCAGTGCCGGGTCCCGCACCTGCAAGGCTGGGGACTGCACTGTCATGGCAATGAGGTCTCATGCTGCCTCAAAGGTGTCTGGCGTGGAGGGAAGATGGAGCTCTTCCTCCAAATCCTCCCGAGTTGGGGAGTTCATCAGCACCGGACTCAACGGGCCTCCTGTTGGGGCCGGAGTCAACAGCGCTGGGTCTTGAGGCCCAGCCGGTGGGTGTCCTGCCTGAGAATGAACTCCACTGGAGGCCCCTCGTGGCTTCTTGAAGGGAGAATGACCCCCTGTCCGCCCTCTTTTCTTATGCGGCACCGGGGACTGCAAACGGTGCCACCTGGTGGCACTGGTCTTATAGGTTGGGGAGCGGCGCCGGGGCTCCTTGGAGGAATCTTTCTTCTGTACCGGAACATCCCACACTGAGGCTCGGGCTCTGAGCACCAAGGATGCCGGTGCCACTTCCGGCTGCTGGCCAACTCCATCAGGAGAAGCTTCAAATGAGTCCCGCTCTCTCTTAGTTCTGGGTCTGAAGTTCCTGCAAATTGGGCACTTATCTGTCTGATGTCCTTCTTCTAAACACTTGAGACAGGCAGCGTGCAGATTGCCTGTGGGCACAGGTTTCGTTCACCTCTCGCACACCTTAAACCTCTGCGACCGAGGCATTCCCTGGTGCCTGGGGAAACTAGGACAAGGGCGAAGCCCCCCGAAGTAAGTCCAGCTAATCTACAACTAATATAAAACGACCTAACAACTATACAACTAAGAAATGGGAACCACTAGGTAGGCACTTGCGAATGCAAGAGACTGAGCTGCTCCAACAACTGTCACTGGTGGTAAGAAGGAACTGAGCAGGTGGCGGATTGGCAGGGACCTATATACATAGCCATAAAGGCGCCACTGCAGCCGACCCAATGGATACCACTAGGGGAAAAACCTTCTGATGATCGTGCACACGGCGCATGTGCACACCTATTGGAATGCACATGAGCAATCACTCAAAGAAGAAACTCTCTTCCCGTTGCAGGGACATAATATTTCCTGTCAGACCTCTTGCAGGTTGGAGCGACTGTTGCAGCGGTCTGCCAGTTGTGCTTGACAGGTTCCATGATTGCATCATTCATGGGTAAAGCGATTTTGGATGATTCTGATGTTTGCAGGATGACAATGAGCTTATGTCGTGTCTCCTGCACTTCCTCAAGGGAGATGTCAAGGGAATCTGCAACTCTCCTCTAGAGATACTGGAAATGTCTGAAGTCTAAACACATTAGAACTTGGCACAAAGAATGGGAGAGTCGGGTGTTGAGGATACCATAAGGTCTCTGAGAAGGAAGAATTGTTCTGGTGCCAACAGCCCCGGTGCCATTGGTGAGGTAATGGTGGATACTGGCTGATGTGGAGCTTTTGTCTGTAAGGGTGCACTCATCAGTTGCGCTATACTGACAGGAGGTGGCAGCATAGGCTGCAGTTGCTTTGATGTGCCTGGTGCTGAGTGTTGGGATGGCTCCACCGGTGCCGAGGCATGAGGTTTCTGTTTCCCCTTGGTGACTGGCTTGGAGCTAGATGTTTTCGAGTCTTTTTGCTCTCATGGTACCGGAGAGTCCCACCATCTTGGCTGTGGAGTCTGTTGGTCTCTGACGCCGGGTGGAGAGACTTCTTCATTAGCAGCAGTCTAAGTTGCAAGTCTGTGGCTTTCCTGATCCGGACTGTCAGTTTGTGACAATATAGGCACTTTTAAGATACGTGTGCTTCACCTAAAAGCAACCATACTGAGAGTGTCCATCTGAAATAGATACTGAAAGCCTGCAGGTGAGGCAGCATTTAAAGCCCAGTGAACCGGGCATGCCCTTGAGGGGTGTATTTCCCCCTTCTCCATGAGGGGGGAACTAACACTACTCTTAACAGTGAAACGAAATACCAGCTTCTACTAAGGGAAAGAAATAATTTTTTTTTTTTTTTGAAAAAAAAAAAGAAACCGGGGGAAAAAGTGGGAAGGCAAATTAGCTAGTCAAAGTAGAACTAATGGAAAAGGGGTAAAATACTAAGCTATGAGGCACTGCTGAATGCTCTGACTCAAGCCAAAGGTGGTAGAAAAGAGAGGGGGTGGGGTTTGGCACAAAGCACCAGTTAACCGCTTAAGGCAGAGTGAGATGGGGACTGCACATGTGCGACCCAACTGCTACCACAAATCTCTGAACGCCTCTGCACTTGTAATCAAACACCTAAAGTGGAGCACCCACAAGGTCATCACTTGAAGAAGAATTTACAAATTTTTGAAAAGAGAGACTGAAAATTTGTGAAGACGTAGAAGACAGAAAATATGGGATGCAGATAGGGAACACAATGTAGGGAAAGAGATAGGTAAGGAGGCACAGGAATAAGACCAAAAAAAAAGGGGAAATAGATATTGAAAACAATGCAGGAAAAAAGATACACATTCATCTATCAAAGGAAAGAGGAGGAAGAATAGAGTGAAACCAGGCATAGAATGAAGGTACAAAAAAAGCAAGAGAGATATAGTAAGTTACGTTATAAAAAATGTATTAAGACAACAGTTGATTGACAGTGTTACAATTAAGTGAATCACACATCTGTTTTGTTCTTTTAAAATGAAGGGTGCCTGCCCTTGAGACACAGGGCAAGCAGTAGGTCTCAAGTATTTTTCATCCTCTTCAGAAGATTTAGTCCTTGGATTAGAGGTATTGGGTAAATTCTTTTGAAAACTTACTTTTGTAAATAAATTTTGAAACACAATATTTAAAAGCTTACCTCCTGTGACACAACACCGAGCCATTTCCCAAATGATCAAGCCAAAACTGTAGATGTCAGCCATGATATATGGCTGGAAATGATTTTTATTTAGGCTTTCATCTAGGACTTCTGGGGCCATGTAACGTTTTGTTCCCACTCTAGTATTCAAAGGGACATCAACTTCATTCGTATCACTAGATGTAAATAATACAGGTTAAATGAACTGTGGAGCAGTGCAAATGAACTGATGTCATGCAGAAAGATGCTATTATTATAGTATGAAGTAAAGTTATGAACTATAATTAAATCAATGATCTCTTTCTCAAATCCTCCTTCCAATATTACAGCTTATACTATATTATGCTTCTTTTAGACAGATTAAGTAAAAATGATTATAAAATACCCAAGATGAAGGTTTATGTGACTGCTTTGCAAAAAAAAACTTCACACGACTAAGCAGACAGAAGCAGACTATTCCAAATGTTCAAGACTCAAAATGCATTCCTAATATCCACAATTCTACACATCATTACTCATGCTGAAGTTGTCTTGTGTTCTAGGATTTGATATCCACTTCAAGACACTAGTAGCCCATGCATTCCACTATAAGCTTTACATGTACAGTTTTTACCCCTATATTAGACCTAAAATACCCTTATTTCTAATAGGAGCATTTTGAGCATGCTGAACATGTTACAATGAGCTTTGCAAAAAACCAACAAAAAACAACCTATTTCTACAAAATTACCCGCATTTATAATGTTCTACCACCATACTATCCAGACACCCACTAAAAACCATACTAGAAATTACCATATCTGAACCCAAATTCTTGGACAAGGGTTTGCAGTTTCTTTGGCACTAGTGTGGGAAAGTGAAATTTTGTGGCTGCTTCACTCATTAGCAATTGTTTTTGTAGAATTTTTCATATTTTAAAAATAATTACAGTCAAAACAGTAATTTCGTAGATAATTTATTTTACTATTCAATTCATTTTATGTTGCTCAAATTTGCAATGAGTCACAGATCTTCTACTGAAAATACATGAAAGCATTATAGAGATGCTCAAGGGAAAGATGACGTTTTGGATTCTGGGCAGTGGATTTGTTTCCTTTTCTCTCCTTCTTGTGAAGAGGGGAACAAGTGATGTGAAATTTTGTAGGGGTTTGAACTCTTAGTTCTCCATCCTAACAACCTTTGAGACCATCTGTTCTTCCACCTCAATATTCACCCCATATCCAAAGTAAAGAAGAGCATTTGACTCTCAAAACAATAAATACCCACCATACAGTTTTACTGTTCAACTGTGAAACAACCAATCAGTGAATTAACACTCATTTCAACTTGATCTTTGATGCCTTTCAAAATACATGCAAAAGATACCAACTGTTAATAGGCTTTGATCATCTACCTGTTAAATTTGACTGCAAGGCCCAGGTCAGCAATACAGCAGCTTCCATTTTTCTTTATCAAGATATTTTTACTCTTCAGGTCCCTGTGTGCAATAGCAGGCTTGCCTTGTGTCCCATAAATTTCTGTGTGTAGATGGCACAGACCACATGCAGCAGAATAAGCCAGTTTGAGCAAAGCCCTGTTGTCAAGTGTGGCACATTTCAGGAAGTCATACAAGGATCCATTTTCATGGTAATCTGTAATCAAGTAAAGTTGTGTCCAGGAACCTGTGCCTTTAATATCAGCTGCTATAAAACCTGGCAAATGCATAAAGAAAGTTAGCATTTAGTGTTACATAAAAATAACATAATTCATTAGCTGGAAGACTTTTCAGGAAATGAAAAAGCTGAAGTCTCATTTTAAAGTAACACTCAACAGCCCCTTACACACCCATCACTTCTTGTTTGGGGACCAGGAGTGTTACAGTTTAGGTTTCAACCTTATGTGATGTCACAATGCTGGTCCTCAAGCAAAAAGAAGAAAAGTCAGGATCTGTTATTTGTAACATTAAAATAAGTAAGATCCCTAGTCTGCATATAATTACAGCATTTTATTATTATATGCTATGCTACATTCCTCCAATGATTTCATAAAGGAACTTCGCCACACTCTTCATGAAACAACTACAATTCTTTGAAATACAAGTCCTCCACTACCCATTCAAATTACAAACTGCTTACTAACCCAGTATGTTTTCATGACGCATTAAAACAGTCTGGTAAATCTCAGTTTCTCGGAACCAACTGGCTTCCTCAGTGGTAAAGAATACTTTGACTGCCACTTTTTCACCTCGCCATTTACCCATCCACACCTCACCATATCGCCCTTTCCCAACTTGCCGCACCATCTGAATCTGTTTGGCAATAGTGCGCTGAACCTAAACAAGAAAAAAAAAATCAGCAAGTGATTGAAGGCACATTGTCAAGATGACTGTCAGTCTTAAAACTTTGCTTGCCTTAACAATGGTCCCATTTCAAAAGTGTATTCTAGATTCTTTCCAGCTACTCCTCCCTCTAACTAACCATTGCTGCCTCGATTGGGAGAGTGGATGTGTATAAAAATCAATAACTAAAATACTCAGAGAAGAAAATACATTTGATTTTTGTTTAAATTAGATTGAACTAAATTCTTCTAATTTGTATAGGATTATAGCCACTTGTCTCACTGGATAAGCCTTTTTGCTGAGCTACTACGATAATTATGCTAAAATGCATGCCTCAATTCACTGTTGAATCAGCATGTTTATGCAGTTATTACAGTTGTTCATGACCAATGTAAAGTATGCCAATGTACAGTGTGCCAGCCTATTTTATTAAATATCATGAATAAAGCTGAAGAGAAAAATCTTACAACTGGAATGGTATTATCCAAGTCTAAGGTATTTTATCTGAAGGCCTGCTGGAGGACAGAACACTTCTTTATATTTTACTGGCCTCAGCAGGTTTTCTACAAAAGAATCCCTCTTCTCATGCTTTCTAGTTCTTGTTCATTACGTGGAAGAAAAAGACTGACTCTTTTACATATTTGTGTGTGTGTGTTTGTATAATGTCTTTCATACTAAATGCAGTCTCTTTTACATATTTGTGTGTGTGTGTTTGTATAATGTCTTTCATACTAAATGCAGTTCAAAAAAGTATATGGAATTAAACATTTAGAGATAAATAGCATAGTTCAGAAATTAAGTAGTATACACACAGGCAAAGGAAGAAATGGGTGTCTTCAGATACTAATAAATACTAATAAATAATAAATTAGACAGAGAACTGATGAGGTTGAAAAACACAAAGAAAACAGCTCTTGTACCAACCTAATGGCCTGACTTTGTAGCAGTAACAGAGAGGAGACTAATACTAGATTGATAAAAGGAGAAAGCACAGTAACCTTCCTTACAAGTAACTATGGCTCTTCAAGATCCCACTGCAGGTGTGCACGCACCCCACACATGTGAGATTGGATATTTTATTTTAGTAACAGAATCCGTCAGGATTGCACATGTGCCTGTGCCTCTCCTTGTGCTCTCATCCAAGGGAATAAAGGGGGAGTGACTGTGATGCTTCCTCAAATCCCTTGCAATTCAAGTCCATGGAAGCAGAGAACTCTGAAAAGCAGGGATGGAATCATGGGAACCACACTGACCACATATTGAAGAAAAAATGGTTACCTACCTCTCGTTAACTGTTGTTCTTCGAGATGTGTTGCTCATGTCAATTCCAAGAGGTGTGTGTGCGCGCCATGTGCACGATCGCCGGAAATTTTCCCCTAGCGGTACCCGTCAGGTCGGCTGTAGAGACCCCTAGAGTGGTGCCTTCATGGCAGTGTATATATGTCCCTGCTGACCCGCCGCCTGCTCAGTTCCTTCTTGCCGGAATATTCCAGCAGTAGGGACGTGGGCGGGATTTGGAATGGACATGAGCAACACATCTCGAAGAACAACACTTACGAGAGGTAAGTAACCCTTTGTTCTTCTTCGAGTGATTGCTCATGTGCATTCCAATAGGTGACTTCCACGCAGTTACCCCGGGGGAGGGTAGGAGTTCACCTAACTGCCGAGTGCAGGACTGCCCTACCAAACCCAGCATCATCCCTTGCCTGCTGGATAATGGCATAGTAGGACGTTAAAGTGTGGACTGAAGACCAGGTTGCCGCCTTGCAAATGTCCTGGATAAGCGCCTGCGCTCTGGTAGAGTGCGCTGTAATCGGTGGGGCTGGAACTTTAGCTAGGTCATAGCAAGTCCTGATGCAGGACGTGATCCATGACGAGATGCACGGTCATGAGATCGGGAGCCCCCTCATTCTTTCCGCAATAGCAGTAAAGAGCTGTGGTGACTTATGAAATGGCTTTGTGCATTCAATGTAAAATGCTAGGACCCATCTAACGTCCAAGGAATGGAACATGCGCTCCCTGTGAGTGACATGGGGTTTAGGGAAGAACACAGGTAAAAATATGTCCTGATTCACATGAAACTGGGAGAAAACCTTAGGCAGGAACACAGGATGGGGGCATAGCTGCACCTTGTCTTTATAAAATACCGTATATGGAGGTTCGGAGGTCAGTGCCCTGAGTTTGGATATCCTCCTAGCGGAGGTTATAGCCACCTGGAAAACCACCTTCCAGGAAAGGTAGGAGAGAGGACAGTTAGCTATGGGCTCAAAGGGGGACCCCATGAGTGAGGACAGGACAAAGTTGAGGTCCATGTGGGGGATGGGCCGATTAAGTCTGTCAAGGTCCTTAAGAAACCTGCTCACTATGGGATTACCAAACACTGAACCCCCTGCCATTCCTGGGTGGAAGGCCGAAATGGCCGCGAGGTGTACCCTTAGGGAAGATATTGCTAACCCTTGGTGCTTGAGATCTAAAACATAGTCCAAAATAAGGGGAATTGGGGCTGTTTACAGCTCAGTTCCCCTTTGTCAAGGCCAAATGGAGAAACACTTCCACTTAGCCAGGTACCTGGCTTGAGTGGAGGGTTTCCTACTCCACAGCAGGACCTCCCTAACCAAGTGCGAGCACTGAAGCTCAAGAGGGTTGAGCCTCCACACCATGAGGTGGAGTGACTCCAGGCTGGAGTGCTGTAGATAGTCATGGTCCTGTGAGATTAGGGTTGGACAGAGAGGGAGCACTACTGGTCTTTCCACGGAGAGGTTCAGTAACATGGTGAACCAGTGCTGGCGGAGCCAGGCTGGGGCTATGAGAATTAAGGAAGCCCTGTCCTGACGAGTCTTGAGGAGCACCCTGTGTATGAGGTGGAACGGCGGGAACGGTGAAAGGTGTCCACAGTGGAGCCTGGGCTGTGGTTCAGGAAGGAGCAGAATCTCTTGCACTTCCTGTTGCTCCATGTTGTGAACAGGTCCATGTGGGGAGAGCCCCACCTCTGGAAAATTGAGTGAGTGATGTCCGGTCTGAGTGACCGCTCATGTCCATGGAATGAGCAACTGAGGCAGTCTGCCAGTTCCTTCTGCACCCCCAGAAGGTGCAACGCCTGCAGGTGCATGGAGTGGGCGATACAAAAGTCCTCTCCCTCTCGACAGAGGGGAGAGGAACAAGCAGTACCCTGTTTGTTTATACAGAACATCGCTGCAGTATTGTCCATGAGCACTGATACGCACATGCCCTGCAGATGGGCCAGAAACGCTTGGCATGACAGATGAACCGCCCTCAGCTCCCTCACGTTGATGTTCAGCGATAGCTCTGCATGGGACCAGAGGCCCTGGGTTCTGATATTGCCCAGATGCGTGTCCCAACCGAGCGCCGAGGCATCTGTGACAAGGGAAAGCGTGGGTTGGAGTTTTGCGAAGGGTACTCCTGCACAAACCAGCTATGGTTGCAGCCACCATTGGAGAGAGTGGAGAATTTGAGGTGGGACGCTCACGATTGAGTCCAATGGGTCCCTGCCCAGTCTGTGCACCTGCGCTAACCACTTCTGGAGGAGCCAGAGGCTATGAGCCGTACATACAGGCCGCCATATGCCCCAGTAGTCTCATACAATTCCTGCCGGTAGTTGTGGGGAAGCGGAGGAGGGTCTGGATAATGTCCGTAAGCACTTTGAAAAGTAGTTCCGGAAGGAATGCCCTTGTGCGCGTGGAGTCCAAGAGAGCATCGATGAACTCTATTGTTTGTGTGGGGATCAATGTGGATTTGGGCTCGTTCAATACAAGTCCCAATCTGTGAAATGCAGCCCGTGCCAGGGATACATGCTCCACCACCTGAGCCTGGGACTCGGCCTTGATGAGCCAATCGTCCAAATATGGGAACACCTGCACCTGGCTCCTGCGGAGGAAGGCCACCACTACCGCCATACACTTGGTGAACACCCAGGGGGGGAGCACCCTGAACTGGTAGTGCTGGCCACTGACCACGAATCTGAGAAAGTGCCTGTGGGCTGGAATAGCAGCAATGTGAAAATATGCGTCCTTCAAGTCGAGGGCAGCATACCAGTCTCCCACATCCAGGGAGGGAATGATGGCGGCCAGAGAGACCATGCGAAACTTCACCTTTTTTATGTATGTGTTGAGGTCTTGTAGGTCCAGGATAGGCCAAAGCCTGCCCTTGGGGATGAGGAAATAGCAGGAGTAGAACTCCTTGCCCCTGAATTCCTAAGGAATCTCCTCTATTGGCCCTAGAGCTAGGAGTGATTGTAAAAGCAGTTGCTCATGAGAGGGATACTTGAAGAGGGAGGGGAAGGGGGGTGGGAGGGAATAGAATTGGACAGAATATCCCACCCCCACTGTGGTGAGGGTCCAGCGGTCTGACGTGATCGGAGACCAAGCACGGTAGAAGCGGTAGAGTCAGGCTTGGGGCCGGGGGGCTGTTTGGTTGAACCCTGGCCTTGGCCCAAGGAGGATTGTGGTGGGCGCCTCCTGTTATTTCTGCCCCTCCTCCTAGATGGATCCCGCCTAGGGGACTCTGGGTAGAAATGGGTCGGGGGGCTGAGGTCTAAAGGGCTTTCTCTGAGGCGCTGGGGTGTGTAGCCCCAGAGACTTCAGAGTTGCCTGCGAGTCCTTCAGGCTATGCAGGCGTGTGTCTGTATTTTGAGCAAACAGTCCCTCACAGTCAAAGGGGAGGTCCTGAATTGTATTTTGGAACTCGGGTGGGATCCCTGAAACCTGAAGCCACGCACTGCGCCTCATAGCGATGGCGGTGGCCATAGTTCTAGCCGCAGAGTCCGCTGCGTCCAGGGCTGTCTGGAGGACAGTCCTAGAGATCACTCTACCCTCCTCAAGGAGCGCACCGAACTCCCTGCGAGAATCAGCCAGGATTAACTCCTGGAATTTAGCCAATGAGCTCCAGGAATTGAAAGCGTATTGGCTAAGCACCACCTGCTGATTCGCTACCCAAAGCTGGAGTCCCTCAATCGAATAGACTTTATGGCCAAAGAG